GGAATATTCTATCATAGGTCGAGCCCAATGCAGTTCGGCGAAATCCTATCAGAAGATGATTTTATCTGGATAGGGGTTAGGTGAATCCCAGTACAATGAGGATTCTCGAAAATTAAGGATGCTTTGAGTCAAAAAAGATGCCGAGAATCAAGGGATGAATTTGGGTGATTAAAGAGTTTGGTTCAGAGTCCTATAAGGGTTAGGATTGGTCGAGACCTGATAAGATTAGGTTGAGGAATTCTAATCCAAGTGGAATTCTATCTTGATCATTAAGGAGATCATTACTATAAATAGAAAGGGGACTGCATCATTCAAAGCCCTCTAATTCAACACACAATTGCCTTGCGTAAACCTCTCAAACACCTTGAGATTTTTATTTTCTATTTTCTGCCAACACATCTTCAGTTTCGATAAACAACACTGTGGAGGCAACTGGCAACATCTTTAGTTTGGATAAACAGCAGTGCTTCAAGACCAACTGGTTATTCATCCAAGTCTCGATCAACAAGGATTTCCGAGTCCTTGGTCGTAGAGGTCATCTCATCAGCCTTCTCAGTGAAGTGAGGTGTTACCAGGTTACTACATTCGGGACATTGAAAGCCGAATTTGATATTGAACGTTGCAGAACTAGCAGCCTTATCTTCAGGCTCTAGAACTTGAAGGCCAAGACAGTTCCTTCCTCTGCCGCAGTCACAAGATCAAGAAGTCAGCAGTGCGCCCAACGCCACATTAACATATTTTACTCTCTGGCCGAACTCGGCTGACAAGTTGGCACACCCCGCATTCAACCGAAGGACATAGTTAGCTTATTAATTATTCAATATGCGTGCCACGTAGGCTAGGTAGTTTTTAAGGTCAACAGTCTTACATGTGGTATCAAAGCCACACAACAAGCTTAGCGTCCAATTCAAATGGAGTACTAACTTTAAAAGCTGCTAAATGACGGAAAAATAAAATACATTGGAGTGGAATACTATGGTCATGCCGTTCATCACATTATGTCTGTGCATATGTACTCTCTCTGGACTCAGGACATCGATAATGAGATAATCCCATTTTGCAGGTTCTTATTTTTCACCTCTGAATTATGCGTAGTCAAAATTGCAGAACTAGGATTTGGTTTCAGAAAACCATAAATATTGCTTGATACAATTTGCATCTAAATGGTTTGATTTAATTATTTTTATATATGATTAATATCAAGATTGGCTTGGGTGCATTGTTGCTGCTGCTCTACATTGTCTAGGGTTTCTTTGTTTTCAAATCCCATTTAAATAATACTTTTCATTAGTGTTCTTTATAAAAAAAGAAAGCTGTTTTGTACACGTAAAATAAATAAATAATAAATTTTGGTTATGCTGTGTGGGTCTTTGCCCTCTCGGCAATTTTCAGCGAGAATCACTCGCCGTCATGAGTTAAACTGGGTATGGATAAAATTGTTTTCCAATTCAAATTTTTATACGGTTTAATATGGAATTTTGTTATGAGTTTGTGAGGTTTTCGTTCTTGCTTCAGCTCATATTTTCTATGTATACATGGATCCTCTCAAGTTCTTCTATGATTAAATATATTCTTTCATGAGTTTATGGGATTTCATGCTTCCGCTCACTCTTATTCTTCATATCAATAATTCTACTGATATTCTATTGCAAGGAAGAATTTCATCAGACATGTTGCGATTTTCTAATTATATTAGCTTATGATTAAGAAATTTTATTTGAAAGGACCTTTTTATTGTGGTTCAGTGTACTCAACAACCTTTTGAACACCTAGGTGTTCATCTTAGTGTCTAACACTAATGACTTGAGACAAGTCATACTCTCAATTGATGAGTTGACATAACACGTAGCCTTAGCGGATTGTTAATGCCCGATTGACTTGGCTATGAACGTTTTAGGAATGAACATAAGAGAAAGGTTTAATTGATCTAACTTACTAAGATTACTTCTCTGTTAGGTTGATTATATTCCTTGGATTTTGTTATTGCTTAAACACACAATACATTTAAAAGCGATTAACAATAAACAATGCCCCTTCATTAAACTAAATAAGAGTTCAACAAAAATAAGTACTCCAAAAGTTATTACATCAAATAAGTAGCTTTAAGGGCATACTTCTAACAAAAACATTTTTTTTTTTTAAAAAAAAAATTTATAGCAAATCACAGCTTTTTCACTCCTTTTCTTTTCTTTTCTTTAACTGAATAAAAATAAGAAGAAGAATTATAATTACAATATTTGGCCCTAAGAACTTTGAAATCTCTCTTCTTAAAGGATTACACTATCAAGCTATGTAGGGATGATTCAGGTTTAAGAACAAAATGACTCACACAATGGCTGAAAATGGCTAACTAGAAAAGTAATTTAAGGATTAGCTAGAAAGGCTCAAACGAAAGAAACAATGACTATATCACTTCCAAGTTTGTTGCATAAACTGATAAATGGATCAAGAGGTATAAGGCAATATCTAGAGATACATGTACAATGAGATCATACACTCAATAATAAATGAGATTGATGCCTAATGGTTCAATCTATAGTAGGCTTAAAAGCTCAAAGGGTTATATAAATCACTAGATTAACATATCAAAGGATTAATTTTTGCATCTGTCACAACTTAAGAGTTGACTTGCTTGACATGTGAATAGGACTCCATGCAAGAACTCTTCGTGATTGCATTCAGTGAATTCAATCCCTATTGAGGATCTACACACTTGTCTAGCGGTTTCCGCTAATGGCTCTTAGGACTAGCCATGCATATATCTTTTATATGTAAACATAGTGTGTATCAATCTTCCTGACCCCAAACGATCTGTAATAGGTTTTAGGACAAACATGTAATTAAGAGAGGGTCTCATTAACTTAACCCTTTAAGCTACTTCATTTCAGGAAAGGATTATCCCTATAATCACATTCCTATGTATGCAAACGAGGCAAGAATTTAATGTTTATCCAAGGATCCACTAAGTTGAGACCATGGATGGTCCAACAGTTTTAGTGGTCCTTCCCATATGATTAGATTATGGATTAATCATTGTATCACTTAAAGAGTTATCAAGCCTTTGGGGCATACCCTCAAACAAAAGTAATGTGATTGAACGTGTATGTGTATTGTTCATTGGAGTTTAATTTATAAAATGTGTAATTGAAGGAATCATTGAGAAGTGTACAGAATAAGAAAATATTTTTGAAAAATATGTGAGTATGTGTATAATATGTTAAATTGAAGTGAAGTAACTCACTAGATTTTAAGTATGGTAAATTGAAAAGAAAAAAAAAATCCAGGTCGAAGGAATCATGTAGTAGTTACAAGGAATGAATATCACACTACTTTGTAAAAAAAGATTTATACAATGAAATATTTATACTAAATTGGTGTAGAACTCGTTATGCACGAGATTCGAACCCATAATTTTTCACTTACAAATTAAATTTTGTGAAAATTTAAAAGTATAAATTTATTCACGACTGACTCATCTTCTACCTTTAAGTTGACCATTATTTGAATCTAATGAATTTATCTTAGTTTTGATTAAACATTTTTTTTGTCATAATTTTGGTGCTATATGCACATTATATTGTAACAAATTTCCTATAATCTAGCATTTTGATTACACTCTCCTCCGTTAGAGATAATTGTAAAAAAAAATAAAAAAAAAAATTGGTTAGATTCAATTAATTATCTATGATATGATTTAAGATATTTTCTTTCCAAAATAGTTTAAAATATTTTTCCCAAAATCAATTGTACCGAAATAAGTTTTTCTTTTAGTACGTTAAGAGAAAATAGGATTGAGAATAATATAAACGTACCAATACACAATGTGTACAAAATAAAACGTACCAAAATGAAAATAATGTACGTATATTAACAATATATATCAAATCAAACGTGCCAAAATTGCAAATAAACTTACCAATTAATTATTTTTGTAAATTCAAATGTACCCGCAAATAATATATACGTAATGTATTGTACTTAATAATAATTCGTCAACAACTATTGTGACATCCCACATCACCCAGGGGAGTGATCCTTAAATGTATATTCCCATCCCTACCTAGCACGAGGCCTTTTGGGAGCTCACTGGCTTCGGGTTCCGTAGGAACTCCGAAGTTAAGCGAGAAGGGGGCTAGAGCAATTCCATGATGGGTGACCCACTGGGAAGTTGCTCGTGAGTTCCCAAAAACAAAACCGTGAGGGAATAGTAAGCCCAAAGCGGACAATATCGTGCTACGGTGGTGGAGCGGGCCCGGGAAGTGATTCGCCCCGGGCCGGGATGTGACAATTTGGTATTAGAGCCTAACCCTGGCCGCGTGTGTGCCGACGAGGACGTCGGGCCCCTAAAGGGGGTGGATTGTGACATCCCACATCACCCAGGGGAGTGATCCTTAAATGTATATTCCCATCCCTACCTAGCACGAGGCCTTTTGGGAGAACTCCGAAGTTAAGCGAGTAGCGCGCGAGAGCATTCCCAGGATGGGTGACCCATCGGGAAGTTCTCGTGTGAGTTCCCAGAAACAAAACCGTGAGGGCGTGGTCGGGGCCCAAAGCGGACAATATCGTGCTACGGTGGTGGAGTGGGCCCGGGAAGTGATCCGCCCCGGGCCGGGATGTGACAACTATACTTAAAAAAACAGCAAAAAAAATATAATTTCAAAAAAAAAAAATTGAAAAAATTACACGGAGCTTTTATGTTGATCATCAACTATTTGAAAAAGAAAAAACGATTTGGAAAAAGAAATAATATTAAAAGTTTGCATAACCAAAAAAAATAAAAAAATTGTGATTGAAAAAACATATTTGGAAGAAGAGAAAATATAGTTTAATTACTAATATCTCCACTAAATAAGAAAAAATGCATCATGCAAATAAAATGATAAATTCAAAAATTATTTTAATTTAAAAAAATAAACGTGACTATTGGTCAAAACATTTTAATCAAATTTTAAAAAGTCATAGATGTTTAATCTAAATAATATAAAAAACTATAGGGGATTCTAATTTTCCCTTTAATATATTTTGAAGAACAATCATCAAGAATCCATATTAATGATGAATAGAACCTTTGGTAGCATACAACTGGGATTCGTAATACACTCAAATTTGTAAATATCCTCTTACCGTTATGTTTTTCTTATTTTGTTTTCCCATTTAATACCATTAATACTCATAATTTAATAAGGTAATATGAGGCATATCTTTAGTGTCAAATAAGTGAAGGTAATTTCAAGGAACATAACCACCAGGACCACTACCTTCACCACCTCCTCCATATGCACCTCTGTGCACTCCACCATAGCCACTGCCGCCACCCGAACCTCCACCACCACCACCTGCATAGCTACCACCACCAACTCCAGCCCCAGCTCCTCCACCACTCCCATATCCTCCTCCACTTGCTCCTCCAACAGCATAACCTCCTCCAGCACCACCACCATGCCCACCGCCACCTCCATATCCTCCACCATGTTCTCCACCAGCGCCATAAACCCCACCAGCACCACCACCTTCTCCTCCTCCATAGCCACTACCATGCTCTCCGGAATATCCGGACCCTCCACCACCACCGGTACCTCCTCCTCCTCCACCGCCAGCAGCATGTTCTCCACCAGCACCGTAGCCAGACCCACCTCCTTCACCACCCCCACTTCCATATCCTCCTGCGCCCCCAGCACCATAAGCTCCTCCACCACCACCACTTCCTCCACCGCCACCGCCACCATGTCCACTAGCACCTCCATAGGCAACACCACCACCTTCTCCACCACCACTACCACCTCCATGTCCAGCAGCACCATGCTCTCCTACAGCTCCATAACCACCACCACTTCCTGCACCTCCTCCGCCACCATAACCTCCAGCACCACCCCCAATGCCGTGGCCTACAGCAGGCACGTGGACAGGCTCCTTATAATTTAGGAGTGTTCTAGCCGCAGAACATATCTCCATACCCAATAACACAAAGAAAACAAAAGTATGAGCATTTTGAGTAGCCATTGGAACAATGCAGTTGAATGCACAACAATGGAGTACATTGCAAGAGAAGAGTGGGCAGGTATTTATAGGAATGGAGAGGGTCTTATAGCGCGTCTCTGCTGAGCATAAGGTGGTTGAAGCACATGCAGATCGAATATACACTCAGTACACTAGTGTGATTTTGCTGTCTCCAATGTACATTGATACGGTCACTCAATCAAGCATTTGTTAAGCTAGAGGTTGTATAGGGACCTAATTTCCTTATCTAGCTACCTTCAAAAGAAAAATTCCTTATTTAGCTATTATTTGTGTTCAGCTAATTTATTGAAACCCTTTGTACACCACTGTACCTGCTAAGACTGATCAAATATGGCATGAAGTTGGCTATAAGTATCAACATATTACTTGTGTGTTATTTATAAGGCGATGTTTGATTCCGGAAAAATATAATGAAATTTAAGTGCGCCCGTGTATTCAACTACTTGATTTCTAATGTTATTTAGTGAAGAACAGAATTAGCTGAACAGAATTAGCTGAACTGAATCATGCTAGGTTAAGAACTAAGAAACAGCTTAACAATCATAGTTAACAGAATCTGATGTCGGACAAATGCTAACAAGGTTTACCGATCGAAAGCGCATTTAGATTTACTTTTTAGTACGGTGACCCTATATTGTTTAAAGAAAGATACATTGATCGGATACATCGATCGGTAGAACTTGTGATCTTTCCAGAAGTACAGAAATCCGAAGTCTACCACCTTCAAAAGTTCCTGTCATATCCATCCTCCCTTCTCACATCTACTCATCTCGTTTGGTTTGGAGAAATTCTTTACCACTGTTGGACCAAGCAGCGAATTGCGTGATGCTGATGGGCCATGTAGTATAAGCATTTAGATGTGGCGTATGTGGAGTCAAAAATAATTTCAAAAATTCTAGAAACGATACATGAATTTCTCTGTGAAGAAGGTAAGAATGCCATCATTAAATGGGCCCCACAATATTTCCACACACAGTCTGACATCCTTGGAGGCTCAAGTAGATTATGACACCACCAAACTTCCCTACTCGTGACAAGAAAGAAAAGTCAAAGGCATTAAAGATATGATTAATTGCCAAATCCTATCTTTAATACATTCCTAATTAAAGCTCAACTCAAACAAGTAAGGAATCATCATCACATTAAAGATAGGATGGTTTGTTGGAGGAAACCAAGGAAATTCCGGTCCTACTGCTTGTGGAGGAGTTTTCATGAATTGCCATGGTCATTTTATTGGTGGTTTTTGCCAATGGATTGGTCATCGAAACTCTTATTTGCAGAATTATCTGCAATTATTATTTGTGTAGAGTTTGCATATCAGCTAGGTTGACATTGTCTTTGGTTGCAAAGTGACAATTCTAGTGTTATTTCTGCTTATCAATCGTCTAATTTTGATCTTCCTTGGCCTCTCTGTACACAATGGTCTATTTGTTTGGACCGCTTTCGGAAAATGACTTTCTACGCATCTGACATATATTGGGAAGGAAATTTTGTTGTGGACAATTTCGCTAACATGGGCTTGTCTTCTCCAACTTTAACTTGGCATGATTTTCCTCCACTGGCAGCTCGTGCTACATTGTTTTCAAACTACGTTGGCTTGCCTGGCTATCGGTTCTCAAATTAATGTGCATCTTGACATCTAGGTTTGTCTCACTTTCTTGTTTTTTTTTCCTAACTTTTTGGTGTTGCTCAACTTGTTTTGCAGGTTTAGACCTCTAGGTTTGGTTTACAAGGGGTTAGGTTTCATGTCCCCCCCCCCCCCCGGGTCCCCTCTTTTTGTTGTATCTTTCTTGTTTTCGGTTTCTAGAGGGGTAAGATTTACGTCCCCCATGACTAGGTGTAACTTATTTTTTCATTATCAATAAAATTTTCCTCGTACCATTGAGGTTTCCCAAAAATTAAAAATCAAGGATGCTTCCAAGAATATGTCAAGATATTATTTCATAATTAATATCTTTGAATTATTCTTTTTTCATCAATCTTATGGATGGCATACCTTGGCTAATGGGAAGCCGCCATGTGCAAGGCCAACCGTGCCCCCATGGCTTTCACCACCCTAAATACTCCTCAACACCAATTTCTGGTAGGCTTTTTCTACACATACAAGCCTAAAATTCTCTCTTCAAAGAAACTTAGGCATCCGAGATCCATTGGCCAAGCCCCTCTTACCTTGTGCGCACATGTGTGGCTTTGACCTTGATCAAGTGTTATTCGTTTTGTAGGTACAACTTCGTTAGGATTGAGGATGACGAAAATTTGCTATTACAACTTATACGGCGCTAACAACTTGTTTGCAGATGGCAGGCAATGATGTAAACAATGACCTAAGTTGCAGGTAAAGTTATACATACGTACAATGCATGGTGGTGAGCAAGTGCAGCACAGCAATGAGATCGAAGATATCGTTGACCTTGTCTGAGTTAGCTAGCTGAGCTCGATCCAAATGACACAAAAGCTGTGCCGCATTCTTAGTTTGTGTTACTAGCTTAATTAGCTTAGATAGTGTAGGTACCTAAATCTCACTGTAGAGTAGATGGATGGGACCAATCCATCTCACTTTGCTTGGCTAGTGGAGCCTTTACATATTCTTCACGCTTGTGGCTTATTATTACATTGGTAATTTGTTACAACCTTCTTTGCCCTACATCATTCTGAGGCATGAAATTTTTTCAGATATAGAAATATGAGTGGCGTTCAAATCCTAACCAGTTAGTAATTTGAAACGGCGCTAAATACTCGTTTGGGCCCTCTCCGCAATATAATCTAATGATTAGAATTGTTTAGTTTTTAAATCATCATTCACAGATCGTTCTAGTAAAAAATCACTCAAACTTGAAACTGTTTAGCCTTTTAATTGTTATTGTGAACATTTCATTGTTTGTCCACAACATTATATTCGTTCATTTTTCAAGTCACAATTTAATAACTAAACGGCTTCCGATTATTGTGAATTTTTGCAAATTTGATATTTCATTCTCAATGCTCGCTCCCCGCTTCACAAGGGCATCAGATGGATTATTAGTAATCGTAAGAATGTTTTTTTTTTCTAGGCTCATAACTCCCCTTTTCTTCTTTGCTTGATGGACATCAAAGGAAAAATATAATGGTTCTTGGATGAAAGACAAATTGCAGGCGTTTCTGCATCTAAATATTCTCTAAAAATTTTTTGCTATTGCCTTGCCACTAATCTGTGTTGAATATTGTTTGGAATCCTAAACACTTCCCAGCAAAGTTTGCTACATGGCTTATCACCTGAACTTATACATTAAGAATTTTAAAGAAAAAACTAAGAGTGATAGGACCTTGATTTTCAGAATTCATGACTTGTCATCTCACTTTAACACTGTAAAGTTTACATAAAAAAATAACTTGTAACATCGCACATGATTCATTTCAAAGGAAAGTTTCCATGACCTCACCTGTCCTCGTACCCACCACCGCCAATGTAGACTAGCTTGCCTATTGTCCCACTGCCACTTCCACGACCTTCTCTACCCACCCAATCCATGCATATAACCACATACCCACCTCGGCACAACCCACAGGAAACCCACCACGCCTAAACCGACCTCCCTTAGCCACAACCTACCCCCATTGCATCCCATGATTTTGCAAGCATTAACACGTAGAAAATCAATTTCAAGGAAAGAATAAAGTTTAAATCAAACAAACTAAACTGTATAAAATGATAAGGATTACGGGGAGGTATTTCAATTTGTTTTCTCTCCTGAATTTGTGAAAGTGTCCTGAAAATGGGTCATCTGCGACGCATGCTATTTTTTTAATCGAAAACTTGACGGTTGTCACGGTGAGGTGACAAACCATGGATGATACCTTTCGTAAAATTCACTTCAAGATGAGAAAATTAAATTGATGTATAAGTTTGATGTACCAAAAATTATCCTTTTGCATTTTGTAGGTGTGGTAAAGAGTGAAAATGTGACATAACTGGGACTGAAGGACATCATGCTGGCAAGGCCTTCTTCAACTGTGGGGAAAACTGCACCTGGTGTAATGTATATCAATCAACATACGAATAAACTATTCGAAGTTGCATCAACTATCACGATGATCGAGTGTGCATAGCAACAAATGCCTTATCCTTTTGACAGACATGGAGATGGGACAGTGACTAAGGACGCCGTGCAGCAGGAGGTAGAAAAATTTGGTGCAAGCGAAGCACACTTTGAGTGTGGCGAAGGCTAGAAATATGTTGATGGTTGTAGATAGTGACGGATAGCTGAAGAGCATCAAGAAAGTGCATATGCAAACAGTAAACTACCAGTTACTATAGTTGATATTAATGGTCTTGAAATGCAAGTTCGATTTTGCTGTGTACAAATTTAAGAGATAAAAGGAGAATAAGAAAATAAAGACTTGTAGAAAGTGGGGAAGAAAATCAGAAGATATAAAACAATAAGTTCATATTTGAGTCTTCAGTACTCTGAAAAGATTCCCGTGATTATTCCAGTCACAAAAAACCAGAAAAGGCATGCAGGAAATTCAATAGGCTCAAAAGACACGAAGAACAACTTACAATTTACCGGCAATTGCTTCTGCAGTCTCAGCATTCCTCAGTACAACTCTCGGGGGGACGGGAGGAATCTTAAATCTCAGGCGACAGGCCAGGCTTGACCTCTAATGAAAATGCAGATTGATAAACGTTTTAACACATCGCTATAAATGACTTTAGAAGTGGCATCCTCCTGGACTTGTGATTATACTCAATTTAGGACTGCCTTCATTTGCTTGTCAAAGATGGGGACTGCAAGTGACCTAATTTGCATGGTTTGAGATTTGGTTCAAAGTTCAGATTGGTTACCTATCTTCCAAATATAATGATTCCTTTTTTTCTTTTTCACTAGTATAGCGTGTAATAGCACATTAGACAAATCACGCCAAGGAGAATCGCTACTTGAAGAATGTGTTGAAATATTTTAGATTGATTGGCCGAGGGGGTCTCACTTTAACGACACGATATTGTCCTTAACTTTACCACCTGCCCAATCTGT